AACGATTCCTCGAATGATTCGAGTGCCTCGATTATTAAAATTCCTCAAAGAAAATTGATCTGCCTCGAAGCTTGGTTAATTTATGCTTCATTATTTAGCGCACCGTGCAATTTTTTAAAACCATTTTTCTGTAAATATCCCGTATTGCTCTCTTCCTGGGTCTTATGTTTGTACCCCGGTCTACCGGTCTGTTTTCCCCCCCTCATTACGCTCATCCGTCTCCCCCGGACCCACCGTCTGTCTCCTGGTCTATTTTCTACCTCAACCCCATCTTACATTCGTTCCTTCGAAGATGAATACATAAACTAAAAGCTGGAGTATAGACATTTTCTATAAGCGTATTTGTGAGCCTGCCTCTTTATTATTAAATTGAATAGAATTTCAGATTTTTGTATAAATTTTCTTCAGGTTAACTTAGAAGTGAGCTGTTATTTTTACAGGTCAATTTTCTAAACGACAAAGAAGTAACTGTTAGGGAAGCTCAAATATGAAAAATTGGACTGCTATTGATATCCTATAGTAACACTGGTGTTATGCTAGATTTACCAGTATTTTATTTTATACATTTTTTTTATCCGATAACTCGATTAATTGTAAGAATAATCGATAGATTACTCGACTACTAAAATATTTGTTTACAACAACCCTAATGTCGAACCAACCAAACCCTTTGAGCAACCTCATCCCCTCCTCGCCAGGGAGGCACTGCGACAAAAACCACTGAAGGAAACAGCCTCTGAAGAGTGCAACGTCCTTCTTCACAAAATGTAAGCAATATTAGAGTAGCATCAGATTTTAGCCATTTTTGGCAGTCTCTCTTGTCTTTGGTAAGAACCACGAACCATTTCTCTCACTGGTGCCAGACTCGCACGTTTATTTTGGTTGTATTTACCCAGAATGCCTGTGGCTGTAGTTCACTTCCTACTTTTGGACTGGTTATTCAAACTGCACCAGTTCACTTCAACCAAACCCAGACCAAGGTTTGTAGGCAGACCAGAGGTCATCTTAGGGTTGGGCGCAATACCATAACATTTTGTTCACTGTGGCATTAAAAAAGTTTTAAATTTGACTTTCTGGAACACGTAGATACCCCATTGTTGTATTTTTAGAGGTTATACTGCGAATTTCATTTTTAGTCTGCAGCCATCTTAAGTTCTGAGGACTGAAACCTTCATACACATAATCATCCTTCCTTGCATCTGCAACTCTTTCTCTGTGTCTGATAGCCAAAACATTCCTCTGAATCTGTAACATATCCTCAGTCTGGATGGAAATGCTTCAGAATCGTCTTTTATTTTTGAAAACTCCAGCTCCTCTCATCTTGCTGCGGTTTCTATAATCGTAGTCGTTGAAAAGGAAATGCACCTCTGGCTATTTGCTTTTAGCGTTGACTTGACCTCAAAACACTCCTAATATCAGTCTGATCTAGCCTGTGTGGGATGCGGTTGGGATAAACGGGTCGGATCCAGGGAGCCCCACCTGGCAGCTTCCAGGACTTAAAGGATCTTCTTGGCACAGAACCGTCTCAGGTCTGTTGGCGTCCGTGCCTTGACAGGTCCGCGCTGTGTTACCAGGGATTTACCAGATATTTGACAGGTAGTCTTTAACATCGTTGATAATCGGCCGACAAGGCCGCTGTGGTTTGGTTCGGCTCACATGCATCATCCTCTACCTCTTCACCCCATGAGGACGAAAGGCTGTCTGCTTCACAACAGGTTTACAGGCATTAGCTCTGCTGGTGTCACGCCTTTAAAAAACATTCCTTGCTTTATTTTTAATAGTATCGACATTTAGAGCAGCAGCAGAAGAGAGTGACTTGTTTACAAGCATACCGTCTGTATCTCCTCAGCAGCATGACAGGAGAACCGGAGGGCGTGGACTCTGCATTACTCATCAATCCCAGGTATTTCTATTAATATCCTCCAACGATGGAGCAGCTGAACTGTGGGGACATGTCAGCCTTTGTTTGGTCTGTCTTCGATCGGGTTTTAGAGGAATTTAGGGCATGAGGTGCGCCTGGGGGCAAGACGTGGGTTCGTCTGCCATCTTCTCCGGGTTGAGATGTTTGTGTTCCAGATGGACTTTTACTGACCTGTTTAAACTATTAAGTCACCAGGAAATTGATTTTTCAGTCAGAATTGTCGCTTTTTAAGCTGATTTCTTTTAAAAAAAAAATCATCACTGCAGTCGAGCCTCATCTGCAGAACTGCGTCTCGTTTTTGGGGGTGGGGGGACAAATAGATCTGCTTGTTTACCGTCCTCAAAAAGCAGAAAGACAACGTGATGATTGAAGCTCCATGCAGAAGCACATGGCCGTGTCAAAGTAATCCCAGACAATGAGACTCTACACCGGTATGACAGCTTCTGCCTCCAGGCCTCCTCATAAGCCTGATCGCTGAAATGGGCGGATGGCTGACGGCTGTTTGTGGACCTGAGCTTCAGCAACCGTTGCTATTATGGATTCTTTAACTGGTTTAGCCTGGTTGGAAGCACAAACCCATATAACCTTCACATAAATGTCATGATTTGACTTGCACTCGGCCTCTCCTGTCAGGAGTTCATTAAAACGTTTTGTTGAGAAGTAAGAGAATCTCCTCGTCGGAATTTAAGCTGCTGATTTTTTGGCTTGTGATACAGAAACAGTCATTAGGTACTCTGGTCTTTTCTGACTCTAAAAGTAAATTTCCTCAAGGAGAAATTGATTTAATTTGGAAAATTTGTTGTTTCTTTAAAAGAGCAGCACAGCTGGATGTTTTCTACTTAGAAGTTAATGACTTTCAAGTCCCTTGGAAGTGGTGAAGGGCCAGCTGCTGCTAATTAAATGCTAATCACTTCATAAACTAATCATCAGTTGGAGAACCTCTATAAAAGTAAAAGTTTGGTGTGCTTGAATGCATGTGTGTTAGCACAACGCCAAGGTGGAAAAATGCCCGAAGTGGCATTAGAGAAGCAACTGTTGCTGCTCATCAATCTGGGAAGGGTTAGAAGTCCATAATTTTCCAAAGAGGAAGATTATTCCCAGAGGAAAACATCTCAGACAGCTGCCAACCTTCCCAAAAGTCCCAGCAGATTCATCCCAACGTTGGCGCGTGAAGCTCAGCCTCAGGTTAGCAAAGCTGCACCTGAATGAAGGATGAGACTTCTGTGACGAGAGCAGAGTGGAGATGTTTGGTTGTACCAAACAGCAAATCAGCACAAACGCCTCATACCAACCGTTCAGTGCGGTGGTGGAGGGATGATGATCTAAATACCGAAGACAAAGCAACTGCAAAGGCTCACCAAAGTCTAGTGAACATTAGAGACATCTTCTTATTGTTTTTCTCTGATGAATATCTTCCACACATTATTGCCATTGCTTCTTGTCTGTTTTATGCTCAGTCTAGAGAGGTTTCGCGAGATTTCCCCTCTGACATCTGAATGTTGGTGAAAGTCCCAGAGGAGTTGGACAAGAGGCTTCATGGAGCAGAGAAGAAGGAAGTTCAACCCATCTCTTCTTTCTAACTACACAGCTAGACAGACATTTAAATGGGAGTGGTAAAAGCAAAGGAGATGGGTTAGCAGTGTACTGCTGTGAAATACCATCTCTTCTGCCTGGTTATTGAAATGTTAGCATGCCATACAGCAACAGTCTTCAGTCAGAGTCACTACAACACTGACTGCTACTGGAGTTCTTCCCAGCCCAAAGCATCAACATCCACGACTCTTTGAAGATGTTTGGATGATATGTTTAATGTGCCTGTGGGATAAATAAAGATGGATGGTTTCTGGCTTGAGTCCAGACAGCGGCTTTAAGTGGGACTATTTTCTCTCACCTCCAGCCCAGGTGAGCTTCATCATTCAGTCATGATAAACACTGATCTGTTTGCTAGAAACCTAGGTGAGACTGGAAAAGCGTCCCGGACTGAGGCAAATAAGTTAACGGTTAATAAAATGTAGATTCTCTGCAAGGTGAGGATGAAGAAGTCATCCTAAAGTCTTGGTGAAACGGCTCCTTAAAGGAGATTTCACTTTATCAAAACATTGAGTCCAAATGTTTTGACTTGCATAAGCTTCACGTAACGTCCTCCACACTCTGCCTGTTAATACCTGTCTGTCTGTCCTCTCTGGCTCTCCTCTGCACGAGCTGCAGGTTCTGTTTGACAAGCACGACTCGTCCAAGCTGTTCGCAGCCCGCTGTGTTTTTACAGCATCACAAATCTCCCCTAAGCTCTCTCTTGTTGCTGTTTGTGAGTCTGTTTAGCTTCAGAGAGCGTGCAGGTGGGTGTACGAGTGCGTGCGTGCATGACTCAGTGGAGATTGTGCGCTGACGCTCGGTTGAAGCGCGTTGGCGTGATCAGTGACTCAGCAGGTTTTCTTCGCTGGGGTCATTGAGTTCGTGAAGGAAAAACATCGTAGCAAATAAGTGACGCTCGACTTGGCGTGGGTCCCATGAGGATTTTAACAGCTACTAGTAAATATACCAGATTGAGCGCTGTGCAGTGGCTTCAGCTGGTGAGACACTCATTTAATAATAGATCAGTTCATTTCCAGATACCAGGCCTGCACATCTAAAATTTAAACACCTGGTTTATAAGTTTCGAATTTAAAATCCAGTCTTAAATGCATCTCGGATGCAACCAGAAGCTCTGTGCTGAAGGCCAAATGAGCAGGGCAAGAACCAGGCCATGTGCAGGCTGTGGGAAACTGAGCTGAAGTACTTTAAAGGCATTTTAAAACCACAAAAAAGAGTTTTTAACATTTTACAGACTTCTAGGAGAACAGCAGCGGATCCAGTTCAGTCAGCGGACCATTGAGCAAGTCTGTTTCTGAGGCTAAGGAGCTGTGGACTTCAGACATAAGAGCTAGAAACTAGACATCAGGCTGAAATCTGGGTGTTGTAATGAACTCTGACCTGATCCTTCAGACACACGTAAACACAGTTAAAAAGTCGGCCTTCTAACCCCTGAAGATCGTTTCCAGGGTTGGAGGATTAATGTCCTTTATCTTTCGTCGCATTGATTACAGCAGCAGTGTCCTCACAGGTCTGCCTAACAAATCGATCCTCCAGCTGCTGTTCCTGAACGCTGCTGCTGGCGTTCTGACTAAAACCAGGAAGCTGGATCACATCACCCAGTTCTGAAGTCCATCCACTGAGAGACTACACTTTAAATACTGTTGTTGGTTTATAAATCACTGAACAGTTTAGCACCACAGTACATTAAAGGTCTGCTGCTGTTGTATCAGCCTTCTGGACCCGTCATTTCTTCTGGTTCTGGTCAGCTTCCATGCACCGCACATCTGGAACAAACTGCATGAAAACTGCCTAAACAGCGAGTTCCTTTAAATCAAGGCTAAAATCCCACCTGTCTAGAACTGCCTTTGACTAATAACTGGAAAGCGGATCAACTCTGGCCTGGATTACAACTTTATTTTATTTATATGTACTTATTTTAGTGACTCTGGTGTTCCAGAGGGATGAAAATTTGAGCTTTTTATTTCTTTAGTGTTTTTTTTTTGTAAACAGCTGATGTGTGCTTCTAACTGACGGAAGGTTAGCCAGAAGACAATAGTCACAGGGTTCTCTGCTGGGTTTAATCAACCAGCCTTTCTTTCTCTCTCCCAGCCAGACAGCTGGCTTGTAACTTAAACTCGCGGCACCTGGACTCCATCATCAGTTCAAGGATTCCCAAAGTGCAGCCAGTTGCTCCTCTGCACCATGTGGCATACACTGATGCTGCGGCCCAAGGTCAAAAGTTTGAACTAATGAGTGTTCTCCGTCTGCTGTGGAGTGTTTCTGTAAAATCCTCACTGACATGCATCGTCTTGCATGTCAGGAGCTATAGATCAGCTAAAGTTTTAACACGATGAATGAACCGTTGTGTTGCCAATACAGCACAGCTCGCTCCTGTCTAATTCAATGTAAACGGTTTCATCTGTAATTTAATGCTCTAGATAAATGAGCTTAATGAGCTCTTGCCTTCCTCCCTGGGGCAACATCTGATGCTCAGCCTGGTTCTGCTCAGTAGAGGCAACAGAACCGAAAGTCATTGTTCAGGAGGAACTGTTGACACAATAGGAGCAGAAATTAAAGGAATGCTGTGATATAAAAGAGATAAGGATGAGGTTCAAGTCCGGACAGGCTCCTCAGATCCAGAGGTTTTACGGTAATTTGGGGCTGATTTCACGTCCAGATGCCCTCCTCTCCTCCACTTGCTGCTCGCACAGGTTTCATCTGGATGAGCTCATGGTGACAGAGCATCAACTGTTTCCACCCTCATTCAGGAAGAACGGTGCAGAAGAAAGGAGGATCATTTTCTACTGAACTGTAAGACTTGGATCAAACTTTTTGGATGTCCTTCCTCAGGCATTTCCCATCCATTCTTCCTGGCCGAACTGGTGGGACTGGGTCCGGCTTGTAGGCCACCTCATTCTCATTTCTTTTCAAATCCAAACATTGACTTCGTTGTCCTGTGGATGCTGAGGCTCAATGTCTGACTGGAAGACCCATTTGGACCCAAGCTTTAGCTTCCAGAGTTTTGTCTTTCGATGTTTCAATGTTTTTTCCTCATGTTGCCAATTATTTTATGAGATGCAGCAGTTTCCCCTGCAGCATGATGCATTCACCACCATGCCTCACAGATAGGATGGTACAAGCATCTCCATTTTCATTATGTCCAAACAGTTTTGCTTTAGATTTATCAGACCACAGGACGTCTCCAGAGACGAAGGTCTTCATCCCTGTGGACATATTAGTCGGCAGTCTGGCTCTGTGCCATCTGTTTCTTTTTGAGTAATGGCTTCTTCCTCGCTGAGCGGCCTTTCAGCCCATGTTGGTTCAGGACATGTTGCACTGTGGATAATGACACTACCTTCCCAGCTTCAGCAGCATCTTCACAAGGTCTTTGGCTTTTGTTCTGGGAACAATCTGCACATTTTGGACCAGAACCCGTCTCCTTTGTGAGAGCTTTGATGGTTTGACATCACCATTATGTCTATAATTGCTTATAATACTTTGAACAGATGAACACAATGCTTTCAAAGATCTGGAAATTATTCCCAAGGATGAAGGAGAGCTGTGCAGGTCCATGATTCTCTTCCTGATATCTCGACTGATTTCTTCCAATGTTCTTTTTTTGTGACATTAATACAGTTGCATAAAATGCAAAGAATATGTCCTGTGATGGACTGGCGACATGTCCAAGGTGTACCCCCCTTTGGCACAGTGACCACTGGAGATGGGCACCACAATCTGATCTGGCTCTCATTTACCCAGCCTCATTTACTGGATCGCAGTCCAGAAGGAAGCTCGCCCAGGCTTCCACTGATCTTATCTGATCTGTAGAAGTTACCTGTAATGTAAATACTGGTGGTTTTATCATCCTGAGCACAGCTCTGCAGGTCCGCCTCACTGACTCAATGAAACCTAAAACCCATCCCTGCTCTCTGGGAACGCACAGGGTGAGGTAATACATTTAGCTCAGCTTCTGCTCTGGGATAACGTCTGCTGAAAGACGGCTTTCTAAGAAGTATGAAGGACCACCGCTGCTGCTCTTTATAATAACAGGTGCACAGCTGACCTTTCTCTGTGCAGTTATGGATCAGATTGCGATGAGGTTCTGCTCTGCTGTGCAAATGCTCCGCCTTATTCATAAGAACCCAGGTGTTACAGCAAGGACAAAAAATGTGTGATGGTTTTCCTGACCTGCAGCTTTAACAACTCAGTGATGTTGGAAAGAAAATCTGATCTGTGGTGTTGTGTATGAAAGGAGTCTGGTTCTTGTTCCTCCTGGTGAGATTTGTCCTGCAAATCCTCAAAATGAAGGGCCCCAGGAGGCCTCTGGTGGTATGAGTGGATCCCTCAGACCTCCACCAAGAACAGCTCTACTCTCCCTTTGGGATGAATTTGTCTCAATTTGTCAAATGTAGAGCCTGAGAAATCTAGTAATCAAAGAATATTAGTTTGCTTTTATTTTGTAATGCTTCCTATCTACTGCGTGACTTGTCTCTTTTCAACGGCTGAGCCCCTGTTGGCGAGGGAGGCTGTTTCAGCTAACTTCAGCAAGCTAGCTGAAACAGGACAGATGAAGCAGAAACGGCGTCGCCTCGCTTGGTTCAAGTGAGCCATTGTTGGTGCGAAACATCCTGCAACAGACGGCAGCGTTTCATACTGAGGAAGGCTGAGCGTAAAAACAACCTAAAGGGCAAAAATGATTACCTTTATTTATTCCTACATTTCTTGACTGTGTGTTTCTACAGGTGTAAACCAAGATAAGGTTTGCTCTGGAGGTTTCTTTCCAGAAGAATCATTTTTGTTAGGCTGCAATGCTGAAATAAAACTGCACAAAATGGCAATGGCACCTCTAAAACAGAAATACATTAGCGTCATTAGCATAGCTTTGTACATGCTCAATAATCTATTGGAGACTGATTGGAGATAATCTATCTATCTCCAATCAGTCTCTGCTCACAGTGTCCTTCCGTCTTTTCTGAAACGGCGCTAGAGCACAGAAAACAAGGATTTTTAAACCTCTCTACAAAGAAACAGCACCACCCTCTGACCAAAACGAGCGCTACAACCAGTGGGTGTTGAAACAGGCGCCTGTTTTGTGACCTGGTTGGACATGGATCCATCCTGTCTTTTATTGATGGTGTAGGCTGGTGGTGGGGTGGTCTGGGGGATGTTTGGACCCCCTGCTACCAGCTGAGCATCTCTTGACCACCACAGCCTACCTAAGTGTTGTCATTGACCACCTTCTTCCCTTTAGGGTCACAGAGGCCTGCTTTCAGAAGATGTTACAAAGCTCAGATAATCTCAAGCCATTGTCTTGAACATTACAATGATTTCACTGTACCCTGGTTCTCCACAGCTACTGGATGTCTGTCCAACAGAGCGGCTTTGGGATGTGGTGGAACAGGAGATTTACTTCATTGATAAATCTGCAGCAACGGTGGGATCCTATTTCATCAACATGGAAAAAAATCTGAGGAATGTTTCTGACACTTTGTTAGATCAGTTCCAGGAAATATCAAGGTAGTTCTGAAGGGAAACCCAGTATTACCCAAGTGTTCATCACATTAAAGACGTTTGAACACCTTTAGCACACTAAAGTCATGGCACTGTTGTTCTTTTGGCTAGACGTCAGAGGAGAAGACACTGATTTAGAGTGAACACCATGAAGGAGACAGAGGGGGACTACCAGCAGTGGTTGAGGTTACATGATGCAGAGAAAGTGCAACCGTCATTGGGAGGTATCATATTCTGCCCGGTCCTGACAGAGACTCCTCTCCAGGTTGAATAGAACCATTGTTTGGACAAGGCCTCCATGACACAGGCCATTTCATTACAGAATGAGCCCAGAGAGAGGCAGTGGATGGTGGCTGCCCCTCCCCTCCTCATGCTCCTGTCAATGAGCTCCTTTCTTTCCTCCTCTGGGCTACCTGCATGAAGAGGATAACCATGAGGGCGACACACTCTCAGGAACAAATGGCTACTCTCCATCACGGCGACTGCATACAGAGGGAATTATTCAGTAAAAAGATATGAGTAACTTAAAGGTGTCTGATGTAATACCTGTCCTGTGACCAAACTACCAGCAGATGGGTGAGACATGCCAAACCGTCTCCCTGCTGTCTTTATCTTCTTCACTCATCAACAAACCTAAAAGCTATTTGTAACGTCTGAAGCTTTGACTCCTAACCTGAAATATTCAGAGGATGGGTTCTCTTATTTCACTGCAGTCACACCAACACTTCTGCACTGCAACGCTTCAAAGGTGCTACAGACAGGAGAACCTCTACAGGTGCTGATGTGAGCTAAATAACAAGGACTTCTGCTTGATTGCCAGGCTGATGATTTATATGAACCATGTCTTGTTTCAGAACTCCTCAGTTCTTTGACTCTTCTCACCTTTAAATCTTTGCTGGTTGATCTGTCTCTGCTGCCATCCCGTGTTTGTGGCTTCGCCTGAACATGCTGCCAGCAGGTTGGTAGGAGAGATGCTGTCTAGTTGACCTTTGACGAGGGTGTTCACTTACTCCTAAATGAGCAAAGACGGGTCAAGTGAAACATAATACTCATGTTGCACAGGGTGTGTATAACCAGAGTAGTAAGAAAAATGTTTTTTTGCACATAACGGGTGGGTGGGTAAGA